ACTGTCTTTAAAAAATCCAGTAATATACAATTACGCTGGATGTACAACAAGCTAAGAAAATCTTTGTCTAAACGTTGCCAAAAATTTAAGTACTTGTAACCTTTCTATTTTAATTTGTGCCTAATATTTTGAAACGAGTTTAGCTTACAAATGATTCAAATTTATTTTGACGACGAATAGCAAATATTAGATGCACGACCGGGTCCACTAAAGAACATTTCCTATCGATCGATGCAATATTAATTTCAAGTGAGAAAGGAATTTAAAGTGCTTTTAATTAAATTGAGAACAATGTCAACAGGCAGAGTTCAATAACAATAAATGGAGCAAACTAATTATCTCTGCTGTACATTTAAGAAAAGCATGTTATTTGTCAGCAAGATTTTTCCGAGTATGACGCATCAATATAAAGCAATAAAACTTTGAGTACGTGGGAATATGTGTCTTCTATAAAGAAAGACACAGCAATAAAATGAAGTTACGAACTATATGGTTGGGGTGGGGTGCTCCCAATATTTTATTTCGACTGTTATAGAAGTCCCGCCCAGGCTCTATTTTGTTGGAAGCTAAATTTAGTGTAAAATAGATGTAAAGCTCCGAGCACCCAGTCAGCGATGCCGACGTTTAGATGCTTAAATAAACAAAAAGTTTTAAATAAGGTTTAAATTCAAGAAATTTTAATTTAATAACAATTCAGTAATCAAATGACTCAAATTTCCAATTACACTCGTTCCGCACAACCCTTTAATAAGCCTATTGCATCACTTGATTAGCAGTGTGAGATTGATTTCCACCAATCATTGTATTTCTATCCATCTGTTGTATCCTTTCTCCCTTTTATTTCTCCCAATTCCTTCTCCTCCTCTTCCTCATTCTTCCTCACGACTACTCTTCTGTCGACTTCGAGTGTCTCGGCCACAGTCTCAATTCCGTCTCCAACTCTTTAAGACTTGAGAACCGGAAGTTATATGCCCCATAAAAAAGTTTTCTGTGAAAAAACATGGACTGTACAATCGTTTTTCTTAGCCGTTTCATCTCACGCTACACACAGCCTATAATCGGATAACGGCTATTAAATTTCTTCGATCAAGTATTCCTTCACATCGAGATACCCATGCATTCTTGTATGGTGAAACAAACGTCATGATACAGCTCGGTATCAATTACTTCTTATTCCTACGGCAATAAATTCAGTTACATCAGTACATATTCCAAATCCCGTTATACCCAAAAATATCACAATAATCAGACGCATTTCTTTACCTTACAACTCATACAAAGTACGTAGATATACAATACTCTGATATATGCAATTGCCCAAAGTAACTAATCTTACATACTACAACCATATTTTCAAATTCACAATTCAAGCATGTGTAAATTATAACATAATGCATTAATAAATGCACTGTTAACTACGAAGTAACCTAATAACGAATTTCAAAATTAATTCAGACTACAAACAAACAATCTACATAATTCCACCTCGCATCTAACAATTCTCCACCTAAGGCTCAAGCCCAATTCTCAAATACGCAAGTATATGAAACACTACAAAGGTAATTCTACATAGTAACTATCGTAGTAATTAAGTGTACATATTATAAATAATTACAATTATGATGCTTTAATATGATGCAAAATTCAAGCAAATAACTTTCTGACCTTCTCTAAGCTTTGTCTTTCAATACAAACAACTTTTAAATTATTCCGCCAGTTATGGATGTCTTCTTTCTCGGAGTAAATCCTATTGATATGAAATCCTTATAATAGGCGAATATTAAATTACTCTTACGATTGGATTATACCATTCGGGTCTGAATTGGAATCACGTCCAATTCTCGATTTTGATTGGATATCGCTATGGGCCGATCCAATCAAAGTTAGCGGAAATTGTCCCTCACGCTCTATGTCAACGTGGGGACGGATGAGAACACGCCCTGTTCACCCCGTGGACTTGCTTTTTGATCCTTGAACTAACCTTTAACATATATGTGCGGCAACTCTTTGTTAAGTGACATGACCAATCGTCTTTGCCAAATCAAGATTTTGGTCTCTGGCTGGTCATGGCAACCTTGCTTAAGAGTTCAACACTAGCCCTTCTGTAGAGATTGAACACAAGACCTCGGTAATATTCCCAAGATAGGTAGATTATAGCTTATACATGTCTTTAGCTTAGCTTAGTACTTAGCAAACGTGACATTATTGAATCACTAGTCCCTGGCGATTTTCAACAAGTTAAATAAGTTTTATACATACATACATACATACATACATACATACATACATACATACATACATACATACATACATACATACATACATACATACATACATACATACATACATACATACATACATACATACATACATACATACATACATATATGAGAGGCAAACTTATGTACTAAATAGATCATAAATTATTTGTAAATATACTTATTTAAAGTAAAACAATCCAACTGCGAGAAGATAATGAAGACGATGACGACAACGACGAAGATGACTATAAACACTAATAACTTAAACTGCATTCATTAAAATAACGATGATATTACATCTGAGTTCAAACAAGTAAAGAGAGAGAGAGAGAGAGAGAAAGAGAGAGAGAGAGAGAGAGAGAGAGAGAGAGAGAGAGAGAGAGAGAGAGAGAGAGAGAGAGAGAGAGAGAGAGAGAGATTAATAGCAAATTCGATACTATATAGCTTTAATAACGCATTTTCATTTATGACAAGATACTATATGCAGAACATTGACCAACAGTAATTAAGGTTCACGATTATTATAGATACTCGATTATAAGTCGATTTTAACTGCAAACATTATGGACCCTGTCTGCCGTCGTACGTCTTTTGTTGTACTCGTTACTTCTAAGAAAGAAAAAAAACCTGCATATACCTGGATCTTACGCTGCATTGTGTGGCGGCAGATTGGAGTTGTGCGGCTTCCAGTTGGACTCGAATTATAAATGAGTATATACATTACGAAATTATTATAGTCAATGAAAGTAAACAATCACTTTTGCTCTACGATTACAATTATCCTTGTACGCATTTTTAAATCCATTAAAACGCATCCTTGCCTTTCCATATAAGTAGCAGAAATACCCATTTCTTCATTTACCCCATCAAAGGATAGGACATCATCTGTAACGGTTCTTTTCCCACAAACTAACCCAATTGGTGATCCCTTTTTCCACATTTTCATTCGTCTAACTTCTAAAGAATACGTTGATATTCTTCTTATGAAATCAATTGATCGTGAAATTTGATCCAATAGTTAATTTTTACAGGTTTGTAACAAAGGCCACGAGACCCCCTAAATCATACCGTTCTTTCGGAATTTAGTTATAACGAATAAAATATATACCAGAATGGAAAAGATCATGTCATTTGCTTCACAGTGACCGATATTCTTTGTACCAGATGATGTTATGAATTGTTTACTTTATGTGTGTGTATATATATATATATATATATATATATATATATATATATATATATATATATATATATATATATATATATATATATATATATATATATATATATATAATGATCGTTTCCACCAAAATATAATAGAGGTATTCTTAATTAATATCATTTTCGTGGATTTATGTGTGGATAGGTATTCTAAATAGATCATAAAAGTTTTCCATGCATGTGTTGGTCGTAAACTACTACATGAAACAAATATGGTGACAAAATATAGATATACTACCCACTGACCTTAGGTCATTTTGATAAACACCTGTCGATCTTTATGGAGAGAGCTGCCACTCCGTCTTGGTTCAATCCGTTACAATATTTTTGGCACCATATCAGGCTAAGGGGCTGCGGAGGTCAATTGGTACAAACTTCATGACCAAAACAATGACTATAATAAACATCAGCATATCCCCCCTCAGCGGTCATTTATTTCCTCGCCCCACCCCACAATTCAGAATTACGCTTCGTTCAAAATACAATTGATCCCGTTGACAGCAAATTCGTTGATGTCATTTAGTACTGTTTTAAGTTCAAATTATAAAGCGATCCATAAGAAGTGCTTCTCGCTGTTTTTAACTAAAAATAGTTAATCTCGTATCATCCGTCTCTTTAGTTCACTGTAAATGGTTTAAACTGTTATCGACTGTGTTGTTGAAGAGCATTCGTTTTGAATTTTTGGCAATTAAAGAAATAAATAAGTACACTTGTGATTTGTTATGAATTCATTCACTTTTCACACAATAACTTCTTTTCTGCAAAAGTATGTTCCAAAGTTTAACGATGCTAAGCTATGCTTTGGAATTATGTAAGCACTGATTTCATAAAATAACATTTCATTAGATCAATACTATTTTTTAAGAAATAGAAATAGCTACTGTATATAGTCGCCCTTAAAATGAGTCCAACTGCCAAATTTACAGACCCAGATCTGCCTGCGCAGTATGCACCGGCAGATCAGGGTATGTGCATTTTGTTGAGATTAATCAGTAGAGCAAACAAGATAGACAGTGATCGGCAGATGCACTATGATACGGCAGATCAGGATCTTTATTGTTCGCAGTTTGACTTGTCTTATAAGTGAGTATATACGGAAGTTAAAAAACTGGACTTCATGGTAGTTTAACCGAATTCAACATAGGTAAATGACTGGTACAATCATATGGCAAGGTCCATTGACCTTTGAAAATTTTTTATTTTCAGCTGAACGAAATATACCTCTTTCATCCCTATCCGTTTCTACCACTGTCATTGATAATTTGTATTAGTACCTAATCTCGTGTGACTATGGTAAGACCTGAGTTACCACTAAAGATCCCGGCATAGAGGTCATCTAGTATACAATTTATGACTATTTCAAATATTAGCAGTCGATCATACAGTTAGTTATAAATTGTACTAGATATCATACAGTTAGTTCAAACTATACTAGCTACAGTAGACATACTCGTTGTATTTAACAATAGAATCAATGTCCAATCACAGGTCTTCAAAAAATAGTTACTACTGATTAATAACTCCGGTGGTCTAATGGTTAGAGCATCCACCTTAGACGCGGGAGTTCATGGGTTCGATCCCCGGTCGAGTCATATCAAAGACTTACAAAAATGGTACTAACAGCTGCCTAGCTTGACGCTCAGCATTAAGATATTAGTGTTAGGACTGGTTGCCCTGGTATCATGATAATGTGAATGGGTGGGACATTATGCTACATGTCTGCGGCACGATGCCCTAGTGCTAAATATCACTATAATTTGCCACATTGCAGACATCGTAGCGATATGACTGAAAAAATTGTTAAAGCTACCTTAAATCATAATCACATTACATTAATGTACCAGGTTAGACAGTTATCACGTGATCAAAGTCGCAGATTTTATACTAAAAAAGGTACAATTTCATCAGTCTGTATGTACAACTACTGTACAAATTGCATACATTCATATTCTTCTCAAGTTAGTGAAACGAAAATTAAAAATATAGGATGTCACTCCAGAACTTTAATAAACAGCAACCTGAAACAAACAAAGAGCAAAGACAAAATTCTTCATTTTGTAAATATACAAACTATGATGGGTCTAGTTAATTCCTGCAACTTTGTCGATGACAAATGATGCCAAAGATGTCCAGCATGATCATATTTTCAAAGGTTTTAAACTGATCAATATAGCACTTGGGAAGTGGTAATGGAATTTATTTGGAAATGTTAATAATAAATTTACAAAACAGATATGCTTGTTTAGATCTCAAACAGGGTCGTAGGTGAATAGAAATTGTAGTATTATGTGGTAGCTTGGTGACAACAGGCGTATTATTCATTTCTTCGGCCATGCTTGACTGTGCTCAAATGTCATATTTCAACTGAACGGGTACACCCTTTCATGGATAAATTACACTACGTATACCATTCTATTGAAAATGGCAAAGGAATCTGGGGAATCCAATCGGAGACGATAACAAGTGTTCATAAAAGAAATGATAGTCACCAAGCGGCTAATAGAGATATGTATCTGATATCAACAGTCGACATTCATGATGAGCTGGATGGCTCTCAAAAGGCGTGGTAAATGAAGATTAACTTGTGATATTGATCAACATCATTGAAGGATGAGTAAACTTCCTCTATTAATTTACTTCAAAGGGTTATGAAAACATAAAGTTAGAACTGTCTTGTATACCTCTGGAAGGACATGTCACACACACGCAGGCATCCACACACATGCACGCACGCGTGCGCGCGCGCACACACACACACACACACACTTGTACGAAATTCTGAGGTTGTTTCAGATCTGATATCTCTTGCGTAGGGATCAGGCTTAGACGACTCACCGTTTCCCACCCCAACAGTATCAGGACCCGCCATAACGGTACGTCTGAAAAAGTATCCAAATCAAACAGCTGTTGTAGTACTGAGTGATAATGAGCCATAAGGATGTCAAGCAATCAACTGTTGCACCTATACACATGGTGAAGTCTCTGAGAGCTGGAACCATAGTCTCACGGAACAACCCAAAAAGGAAAAATGTCCCTGTCTAGACAAAACAGAAGGATATTTCACACACACACGCGCGCGTGCATCATGTACGAAATTCTGAGGTTGTTTCATTTCTAGTATCTCTTGCGTAGAGATTAAACTTAAACGTATCAACGTCTCCCACCCGAATTGAATCGGGACCCGCCATAAAGGTATGTCTGAAAAAATATACAAATCCAACATCTTTTGTAATACTGAGTGATAAAGAGGCCTAAGGATATTAAGCTAGCAATTGTTGCACCTATACAAATGTTGAAGCATCTTGGAGCGGAACTTAGTCCCACGGTACAACCCACAATTGAAACATCTACCAGTCTAGACAATATAGAAGCTGCTACACCACTGTCTGGTTTTACTTGGCATGAGTTTCTCCAACACGTTTGTGTCCATAGCAGCATTTTCATGCTGGGCCCACCGTTTTACAGAGCCTGGTATGTGACGAGACGGAAAGCCCGGTGATATAACTGCGTAGGCAGACTGCTCTCGTTAGCCTTGGCAGGCAGCCAGTCTAAAAGAAGGAAAATTCTGACTTTAAAATTGGGCAGATGAAGTTCATTAACCTTGTCAGGCAGTTAGTCTAGGAGATGAAAACTCCAATTAAAAACCCACGAAGTGCCATTGGATGATGGCTCAGCAGTCTTGTGGATATCATCGGGAGAATGAAAGGCTACAGGAGTAAGCCCAGACATAAAATCGAGAGTTGGGCCCCGAAGGCAGCTGGGTGTCAACTACGGCTTCCTTCCGGAAGCTCCTGCATCCGAACTGGTGCCAAATGTCATAACAAGCAAGGACTAGAGGGAAATCATGTCGTCTGGGCAGCTCAAGATCTCCATACTACACACCCAGGCTTGCGCCCTGAAGAGACCACTCCAGCCTCGCCCCTGAGCGGGAAAACAACACGGATACTGTGCAGATATCAAGCCCCTCTAAGGAGGATGAGTATGTATCCACCCTGGACCATGCTCTCCAGGACCTGTTAGAGCATGATGCCGGAGCAAAGTGAAACGCCATCAATGATGCCATTTATAGTACAGCCATGTCCTCGTTTGCCAAAAATGAACAACCCAGCCAGGATTGGTTCATCGCAAATCTCTCAAAAATGGAACCAGTAATCGAAGACGAACAAAAAGCCTTCATAGCTTACAAAAATTCCCCAATGAATGGACGCTTGCTGCCCTCAGAAGAGCCCGAAGAACTACCCAACGTATCGGTAAACAGTGCGCAAACAAGTACTTGCAACAAGTATATGAAGAAATCAAGCACAGTGCCAAGTCGTGAAAAATTCAAGGCATGCACAGTGACATCAAGAAAGCCTTAGGTCCTACAGTGAAAGGGGTTGTTCCTCCCCCGACAGGAGAGAAGATAGCAGACCGCAAGAAACAGATGGCCAGATGGGTGGAGCACTACTCATAGGTCCCAAGAGACATCAGTCACCAATGCTGCACTCAACAACGTACAGGAACTGCCCACTATGGAAGAACTCGACAAAGTGCCCCGCTTAAAGGAGCTCAGCAAAACCACCGATTCCCTCCCAAACGACAAAGCTCCAGGTAGAGATGGCATCCCACCTGAAGCCATTAAACATGGGAAACCCATATTGTTACAGCGCTGCATGAGCTACTCTGCTTCTGCTGAGAGGAAAGAGCAGTTCCTGAGACATGCACGATGTTACCATTGTGACCTTCTGCAAAAACAAGGGCGACATCAGTGACTGTGACAATTACAGAGGAATCTTTTCCTGAGCATCGTTGGCAAAGTGTATGTCCGCATCGTCCTCATCAGGTTTAAGCTACTGGCGGATCGCGTGTACCCGGAATCTCAGTTTCGCATCAGATCAGGCAGGTCGACAGCAGATAAGATCTTCTCACTCCAACAACTCCAAGAGAAAAGCAGAGAACAATTTCAGCCACTCTACATGATGTTCATCTATCTCACCAACGCTTTTGACCTGGTCATCAGCAAGGGTCTATTTAAATTTCTTGGAAAGATTGACTACCCCCTCTCCAAAAAACACTACCCTTCATGATACTCTTCTTCTATGTCGATATGAAGGGCACAGTCTTGTATGATGGATCCTCCTCAGACTCCTTCCCCATTAACAGCGGCGTGAAGCAAGGATGCTTGTTGGCTACAGACCTTTTCGGGATCTTCTTCTCCTGCTCCTCTCTTACATCTTCAACATGTCCACTGATGAAGTATATCTGTACATCAGGTCTGATGGAAGGCTGTTCGATCCGACACGACTGTGCTCAAAGACCAAAAAAGATCCGTGCTCATCCGATTGATGCTCTTTGCTGACGACGCATCTCTTGTTACCCACACCAAGAATGCCCTCCAGAGACTGCGAGACCATTTCGCTGATATGTGCAAGCAGTTAGGGCTCACCATCAGCCTGAGAAAGACAAACATCAGCGTTCAATGTGAGACCACTGCCCCATCCCATCAAAATCGATGGTGTCACCCTGGATGTAGGCAACAACATCATTTACCAGGAATCAACCATCAGCAACACTCTTTCGCTTGATGTGGAGCTTCATTCTTAGCACCTTCCTATATGGAATTGAGACCTGGATAACCTACATGAGGAAAGAGCATCGACTCAACTCCTTCCATATACGATGCCTGAAACTTGTCCTGAAAATCAGCAGTCAAGACCAAGTCCTACACAGCGAGATCGTTCAGCGTGTAAGTATCCCCAGCATATACTCCCTGCTGAGCAAACGCCGTCTTCGATGGCTGGAACACGTCCGATGCATGGAGGATGGAAAGTTGCCAAAGGAAATCCAATATGGACAGCTGGCCACAGGCACCAGAGAAATCATCCGCCTCTTACTCCGCTTCAAGAATATGTGCAAGAGGGACATGAAGGCATGCGGAATATCACCTGAAAACTGGGAAGTGCAGGACGAGGACCGAGGCATCGGTCAGCAAAGGCATTACAGTCGCTGATGTGAGGAGAGGCCAATTGGTCGCAGAGAAGAGCGAGAGAAATAAGAGTGCAGCATCAATCCATATGACTCAAGTCTTCCTGGTACTTAAATAGGGACTGTCACTCGCGTATCGGCCTGCACAGCCACAACAGATGATTCCAAAACTCCAGACAACAGACGACACTCCAAGGGCGCGACTCGCATGGTCTCCTGAGTCTGAGCTGCTGTGATGATATGATGATGTATGTATGTATGTATGTATGTATGTATGTATGTATGTATGTATGTATGTATGTATGTATGTATGTATGTATGTATATATATATATATATATATATATATATATATATATATATATATATATATATATATATATATATATATATATATATATATATATATATATGGTAACGTAGCAAAATTTTGACAAAACATCATTATTGTCTTCTGTAAAACAAGTCTGATACACGTGTAAAATGTATGACGCAAAATTTGTGTGAAAACATCAGTAACAAGACAAGAATTACAACATTACGAAGACGAAGACGACGACAATAACGACGATGATGACGACGACAAAGGAGAAGGAGGATTATAACAAGAAATCTAAATATCAAATTTT